ATATCCAAAGAAGTCACTTATACCATATTTCCCCCCGCTTCCCCCGGTACTAGTTAGACAATTTGCCAAGACTGGCTTGCATGACCATACATTGTATTGTATACCAGTCTACATATCTTTTTCAGGTTCATGATCCATGTTTTGACAGTGTTTTACATCAAACATAAGAAAGCACGCAAAGCAAGAAATCGTTCTTCAAATTAAATTTACCTTCCAAGTAATTCTTACTCCTCAATAAATGATGACCCGAAACATCAGGACACTAAAGCCATTGATCTAGACACTGGCCTCTTACTTATAGACTCAACATATAGACTTTATTTTGCTCAGAGTGAATCCTTATCTATCAACATTTAAAAGTTATACATTGAGATATAAATCCTGATTTTCATGAACAATCTGAAAATTTGCAAAGGGTGAGCCCGAACTACTGGTTTACTGGCAAGTAATATAAATGGCAATATAAGTTCACTTATTTTGCCTCTATAGACATTTGAGTGTTTGAGTCCCCTTAACAAAGCCAGAAACCTATTTCTATAAATTAAAATTGGAATATTTCTGAGAGGTTTAAAATAATGTTGAAGATATTCATACTGATTCACCTATTTTTATACAAAGAAGTAATATTCAAGCTTTTATTATTGATAAAAATGAATAACTGTATGATTCAAATGGTTTTCCTCACTGGACAGGTTAGTCAGTTGAGGCTTAGAGATGTTAAACCACTTGCCCAAGTCCTGCAGGTGGGAAACAGGAAAGCAAGATTTGAACATCATAGTAAAGATCTCCACTGAACTTCTAGAACATGTTGCATGTCCTCAGTTTAATAATAAACACTGCACAAGTAGAAATGAAGGGTAAAGAATTGAAATTAAAATTTTAGAAAAAGCAAAGAAAAAGACATCAACCATTTAACAAGACCAAACTTTATAGATTAGGCTATAGGAAGTAAGACAGGTAATAAACACTGGTTTTAAAATTTGAAGTTAGCAAGTCATAGAAAACTTCCCATTCAGCATTTGGCTCCATCTCAAAAGTGAAACAATGATCCCAATTCAGTTAAATCAAATATCAACCAAGCAGCAATCAACTCTCAAAATATCTTCTGTTTCTTCCAAATTTCTGTTCATTGGTCCAATCTACTTGACTTCTAGATTATAGGGTCAAACCAACAGATTAAGAATTCAGCCCTTCAGCATTGTCTGTATTTTTTGTTTTTTGTCTTCATAAATACTTTGTTCTCCTCTGATTTCACTATCATCTCCAGTTTGAGGTTCTCTCCACCATGACTTGAGAGTTTCAATCATGGCTTATATACAGACCATCTCTAAAAGTCATTACTAGGTCTGTCATTTACTTGTATCAGAAAGTAAGCCAACCATTTTACATACATTTTCTAGTTTATTCCTCATGAGGGGTGGGGGGTGGGGGTGGGGGATGGCTATGATTCTCTATTTAACAAATAAGAAAACTGAAGCACAGATCAATGAAATTTAACAAAAATCAGAAGGTAGAGCCTGAATTCAATCTGTATCTGTAGGGATCTAAAGCCCATGGTGTCAACCACCAGGTTATACTGCATTGCAATATCCTATTAGGACTTCCAAATGGGGTCGGGGAGCCTTAGCAGAAGACTGCTGGACTGGAGAAGAATCTTTTGGGTTCGAAATGACTAATATTTTATTTACACTTGCAATACTAGATTTCCATCCCATCTTTCCATCATCAAAATTAGGGAAATTATTTTTTCCTTTTCTATTGAGAACATAATAAAACATAACTAGCAAGTATTTTTCTTAGAGGCATTTCTTTTTTGTTTGCTTGTTTTTTTGGTGGTACCAGGGATTGAACTCAGGACCCAAGCACTTATTCCACTGAGCTATCTCCCCAACCCTCTTGGAGGCATTTTCAATGATTAATTCTGAAGATTTGATTTAGTTTGTCTTGTTTTCTTTAGTATGGGGTCTACAGGGTCTCACTATACAGACAGGACTTATAGTGATCTTCCTGTTTTCAGTCTCCCAAGCGCACTGAGATAACAGGAGCGCCACCATGCCCAGTCTCAATCAATCACCATCCCAGCATGCTCCGGGGTGTGTGGCCTACAGGCCATCCCCATGATCAAACTCAGATCCCTGCATCTGCCTAAGCAGGCACTTTAATTCACTGAGCTATCTGGCCTGTGCCTGAAGATTTGATTTAACAGCAAGTCAATTCGAATGTTAAAGCGTGTTTGTAACATATAACCCTCTTGCCAAATGTTGCTAAATGAATGATTTCAACGCATTAACATTTGAGTATTCTACAAGTTATCTAACCTTTATCCAAAGTAAAGATCATCCTGTGAAGATATGCTCCACTGGTAGGCTTTTACTCCCAGCTTAAGTTGAGTATATCTGAGATGTTCACATTCATCCAGCCGTGTTTCTAGAGCTTTGTTTATGTTTGGTAGTAATTTATTTAACTTAGTTCCTTCACAGCCTCCTTTCAAGTGGTATTTGTTTATCAGTCACAAATGCAGTCACATTAATCCATTTTGATAAGCTAAATAAACCCCTGCAGTCTGTCAATGATGCAGGCGCTATGTAAATGAGCTGTATGTTCTCTCAGGAAAGACTTGCACAATTTC